AGAAATACATGTGTGTATTATGAAATAATATTAGGTAACATTTTACATATTATAAAATATGTATATAAACATACCTATAGTACTTCTGTATGTAACCATCTGTATCTCTATTAAGCTTAACATAAGTTCATACTAATAAAGAGACTTATTTTTGTTGTACGCTATTTTGTACTGTATTATTTTTTTTAAATAATAGCCATATGGTAGTTTGTCAATCATTTAAAAAGAACTAATATGATGTTTGAAATTCCCTAGTGATAATATAAATTGTATATATATATACACACACATATATATGTCTTAATAGTTGTGGATTACTAGGTGAAAAAGTTCTATTAAAAATTTTGTGACTCGGGGTGCCTGGGTGGCTCAGTCGGTTAAGCGGCTGCCTTCGGCTCAGGTTATGATCCTGGAGTCCCGGGATTGAGTCCCGCATCGGGCTCCCTGCTCAGCAGGGAGTCTGCTTCTCCCTCTGACCCTTCCCCATCTTGTGCTCTCTCTCACTTTCTCTCTCTCAAATAAATGAATAAAATCTTTATAAAAAAAAATTTTGTGACTCAAGCTTTTAAAAATATATTAGGGGAAAAATATATTAGGGCAACTGGGTGATTAAAAGGACTCACGTGAATTATTCTTTCATAAAGAATGATCCCCCTATGAACTTGTATGTTGCATGAGTACCTCAACATGGTCAAAATGGAAATAATGATCTTCTTTCAACCCCATTTTTTCATCTGCTGCTCTTCCTGAATTTCCCATCTTTGTGAATGGCATCCCATCCATTCAGTTGCCTAAGGCAGAAACTTAGGACACCTCCTAATTCAGTCTTCTTTGATGCCTTTGATGTCATTCTGCTGTCAAGTCTACTTTTTAAATAACTCTCCAGTTCCTCTGGTTCTCTCCATCTCTACTGCTACTGCCTGGGTTTAGGCCAGGATTACCCCAAAGGCACCCTAATAGTTCTCCCTGCTTCTCTTCTTGTTCTACTCACAAGATATCCTTCAAACCAGCCAGTAACAGTTTTAGAAATGCATATCTGGTCAGGTTTGTCCTTAGCTTAAAATTTCTCAAAATGGCTCTCTATCACCCTCTTCTTTTATGCACCCATGGTACCGAGTGAGCTCTTTCTGCCTTGGAGGTTTGCTTCTTCCTCTGTTTGGGACCCTTTTCACCATGCCTAGTTTCTGTCTTGGTTTAGGTGCCCCTTTCATGGAGTCCTCCCTGGAGTCTTCCCTAATAGCCAAAGGCCAGGGTTGATGTTCTTCCTACATAGGTCTTAGCACTTTTTTTTTTTTTTTAAGTAGGCTCCACGCCCACTGTGGGGCTTGAACTCATGACCCTGAGATCACGAGTCGCTTGTTCGACCGACTGAGCCAGCCAGGCGCCCCTTAGCACTCTTAATATGCATGCACTTACCACACTGAAGGGTGCTTGTCTGAACCCACTACTAGGCTATAACCTCCTGGAAGGCAAAGACTTTATCAGGAGTGCCTTGGAGTCAGACTGTCTGAAGTTGCAGTCGTCCAGACTGAAAATGGCTCTGTCATTTTCTACCTGTGGGCAGTTACTTAGCTTCCCTTTGGTTCAATTTCCTCACCTTTAAAATAAGTGTATATGAGAATAGTACCTAACTCATAATGTTGATGTGAGAATTAAATGCAATGCCTGGCACATAGTAAGCCCTTGATAAACGTTAGCTATTATAATTGAGTTTTGGAGGCTAGGGAGTAGATTGAGTTAGATCTTGGTATATTTTGAGCTTCATTTCAAAAAAAGGTACGTGAGTGTATGTATATATGTTATTTGATGTTGCCAGGAATAGCTAATTTTATCTGTCAAAAATTTCTTCCTAGCACGCTCTTTTGAGTCACGGATTTTGGCTTTTAAGTAAGCTAAAGGTTGTTGATTGGGAGAACGGCCAGGAAAAACTTATCCACGGCTTTTGAATCACATGTTGAACAAATCTGGCATCACAAGCATCAAGCTGCCTTCTGTTTCTAATCATTTTTCTTTCTAATTTAGTTTCTCCCACCAAAAGGGATTATAATTGATTTTCATTGCAGAGTCCATGGAAGATGTCACAAGATGTAGAGGCAATTATTCGCAAGTAGATGGAACCCATATTTGCTGAGTGTCACCACTGGCTCTGTCCCAAATGCTAAGCAGTAGCAATACTTCCCTGGATTGAGACAATGTGCCACTTATCTGAGGGGACTGGCACAAGTCTTGGCTAAGAGACTTTTCTTCTTTCTTCTCACCTACACCTCTGACATTCTTTAAAAAAAAAAAAAGAAAGAAAGAAAAAGAAAAAAAAGGCAAGTGGCAGCATCTTATTTATGAAAGCCTCTCCAAGAGCATACTGGTCAGTGGTCTGGCCCCGGAAGGCTTGAATCCAGGTCCTATCTTAAAACAGACTCGCCTCAGGGAAAATCACTCTCCTTCCTAAACTACGCTTAGCTTCCTTTCATCTCTTTACCTCCCAGTATCTCCCCTCCTTCGCCTTCTCTAACCTGCAGAGAACAGTCTCCCTCCTCTTGAGTTCCCATATTCTGTTCTTTCACCCATTCATACCATTCCTAAACATAGGGATTTGTTCTTGCTTTGAAACTCTTCTAAAAAGAGGGCAATCGATTGGAAATGACTTTTGTCAACACGAAAGCCAATATATTGTAAAAAAATAAACATTTACAAAAAAGAGGAAAATTGCAACTACAGCAAAGAACAAAAATCAGGGACAATGCTCTTCACTCCTCCTGTGTCTGCCCCAAATCAACACATCAAGCCTTCACTAGGATACCTCACCAGCATCTCCCTTGGGTTAAATGCTCCTTCCGTGGAGCTCTTTCTATACTTTCATTCCTCGCACACATTTGACATCATCTTGTGGTTGTGCCAATTCCTTCTGTGTTTGTGTGTTTAACCCCCAGTAGAAATAAGTTTCTTAAGGGCTGAAGCTTATCTCTGTGATTCTGAGCACGTTTCCTAATCAATCTCACAAATAGAAGGAAGTAATAATCATTCTTCACATTGTTGTGATAATTAAGTATAGTAAGAGAATTTTCTAGACCACAGTAAAGTGCTCCGTGGTTAATTTCTTTGTCTTTCTTCTTTGGTTTTGTGGTCTCCTCCATGGGAGAGGATATGCAGCACTGACTGGGAGTGTGGATTCTGGGTTTGAGTCCCTGCTCAGCCATTCCCTAAGGAATTCAGGAAACATACTTCATCTCTCCATGTCTCATTTTCCTTGCCTGCAAATTTGGGATAATAATGGTACTTACTTCATAGGGTTCCTGCAGTAATTAAATGATGAGGAGAAGGTAAAGCAATTAGAACCTAGCACATGGTGAGGACTAACAAATGTTGCCCGTTATTATTGGCATAATGCTCAGTGTAGAGTAGGTGCCTAAAAAATACTTAGAATGAATTGGAAAAAAATTCATAGCACGGTTCTTTTAATAAACAGATCAGCTGGGGTAACCTTGATCGCTACCCAATGGCTGTCTTCTTTTCTATTCAGTTTGCCAATTTATCTTACACCTGGGCCTTGTAAACCATTTGCTGGACCAGTTCAAATTGCATTCGGGTCATAAAAATCAAAAATTGTTTAGAAGACAAAAGCCAGAAGGAATTAGTAAGTGGAATTATAATCAAATAGGAAAGGTGTTTAACGTGGGTGAATGAGAGATTCCCACCGGTATACATCTTATTTAAAATCTTAATTAGAGTTCTGGAAAAGGCAGTCATATGCTAATGTAATGTTAATATAATTACACTGGGGATAAATGGAAATGCTAATACGAGCTGAGGACCGATATAAAGAAATCTAAATAAGGCTTTTTTCTTCTAAAGAGCTCGTAATGTTTTATAAACCATCTCATTAATCTGAATCTAAGTATTTCCAGAAAAGTAGAATAGTATTCTTCACTCAGTAATATTGCTTTCTTTTAAAAACATTTTTTTAATTTTAATTTTATCAGTGTTACAGTGGGAAGAATCAACTCGTTTTACAGGGTGAATAAGATAAATAGCAATCCTCAGCTCCTTCTGCCAGGTTCTCTTTCCCAAAGGTGACCACATTTCAAATCCTGTAGCTGATGCTTTGATGTGTATGTCCACATCTCTAAATTGTATTCATGCATTTCTGGTTTTTTGGTTTTGTTTTTTCCAGTTTTCTCACCAGGTGAGATGAAGATTTAGCTCTGTTTCCTCTGTTCCCACTACTGCCAAACCCCTGCATACCGCATTTCTCCACCTATCCATAATTTTGGCTAGATTTATAGTGACTATTCACGTTATTAAAATTATGTTTTCTATTCACAAAGGAGCTATGTGGTAAGCTGCTATTACTTTTTACTTCCTGGACTTTTTTTTTTTTCTTTCTGGTGATCCCTTAATTTCAGTTGTCTTGGTTTTCTGTTTATCTTGTGTTATTTGCTTAGTTTTCTATGACCACTAACACATATCACTAATGTAACCCCAAACCCTCCTCCAGTGTAATTGGGAGTTTCCTTTCAATATGTTCATTATGTTCCATATGTTCATTCACATCAAGCATTTGATTAACTTCATCTTGAAAAACAGACCCTTTCCCAGGGTCATCTGAACAGCTTCACAGCTAGAAATCTGCCTTTCCTGTCATCCTGTGTGTTCCCTCTGTCTGTCCCCTGTGCTCATCTTCTTCTGTTTCCCATTTTCCTCTTTCTTGGTTTACTCATCCTTTAGGTGGAGCACATCCTCTATCCACTAGCTTCCCGATGAAGGATGTGTGGGAGGTAAAGTTTTTGAGAACTCGCAAGCCTGAAAATATCTCTATTCTTTACTTATAGTTGATTTGTAATGTGATTGAGTATAGGATTCTGGATTGGAAATAATTTTCCCTCAGAATTTTGAAAGCATTGCTCTATTGTCTTCTCTCTTCCAGAGTTCCTTTGGAGAAATCTGAACACATTCAGACCCTTTCACCTTTAATTTGTTCAATAACAAAAATTAAACAGAGTAAATTTTAAAGATCTAATTGGCTTTATTAATCGATTCATGAGTTGGGCAGCATTCCAACTAGCAAGTAGAGGAGAGCTCCAAGGGGCTACAGGAAGGGAAAGGTTTTTAAAAGTAGAGAGGGAGCAGATAAAAGAAAATTATTAGCAAAGGATCCATTGTTTTAGGCAAGGTCCCCCTCCTAAGGGGAGCAGAGGGGGAGGGGTCTATCAGTAAACTTCTAGTGCTGACCAGGAAATTCCCAGGTGGACTGGTTAAAGGTTACATTTCTGTGGAGTCGAAACTGCAGTTAGGCTAGGTATTAAGTCTTAGTATACAGGTTTGGGGCCTTAACCTAAGTGACACCATTTTGGGCCTGTGGTTTTTTTTTAAACAGCTTTTTCACCGGAAACGTATACAATATTCCCTTTGAACTCGGTTCAGTGGTGTGGGTCTATTTTCAGGCACCATGCTAGGGATTTGGTGGGCCCTTTTTCTATTTTTTCCTAAGGACTCTGTTTTACTTTCTTCAAGAAATGTCTTATAGCTTCCAATTCTGATTTCATAAGGGTAATGAAATAAGAACCATGTCTTCTCTGAAGACATTAAGGGTTTAGTTGTTATTTTTTTTTAAATGTACTTTTCTTCTTCCTGTACGTTTTCTATTTTCACCACATTTTTTTCCTGTTCGTTTTTTGGTCTCTATGTATTCATATTAGGGGCTTTTCTCAGATTCTCCTCATGCTTGAGTGCCTGCTCTTACTTCAAAGTTGGGGCCTCCAGAGCTGCCTGGGGGCTCCGAGTGGGTGTGATATCCTGTCCAGTGAGCTGGCCGCTGCTGGGTGGGGAAGCCCTGACGTCGTCACCCTTGTCGACATCGTTAGGTCTTTATCTTGCGTCTAACATGCCCATCTGGAGAAAGGCTTGTTTGGTCTTCTGCTTGGAAGTAAGAGACTGGCTCCTGTCGTGCCGGGTTGAACAAGTTCTGCAATACAGCATGTATACGTCGTTTTCTTAACTCCTCTGCTTTCCACTGATTAGACAGACGTTCTGCTTTCCCCTCTTTGAAGATGAAAGCTGTTGTGTGCCAGGGTGAGGGAGGCTCGTCACACAGGAGTCTGCAGGGAGAGAGGGGCATCTACTAGGGATCTGCCCTCCTTTGTCAGAACCAGCTGGGCCGATCCCCAAGCCCTGACTATTCGGTAGCTTCAACGTACTCTGTTCTCAGCTTTCCCCCCTGAGGAAGCAGAATTCATTCTTCCTGAGTTCCAGTATAGCCAGTACCTCAGTCCCACTTGTTTATCGGCTCTGCAGCCTTTACAAAGTTTCTTGTCATGCTCACTTTATCCCTGTAGGTTTATGCCTTAAAAACCCTTTACTATAGTTTCAGTGCAGTGTAGGAGAGAGTAAAAGCATGTGTGCAATCAGCTATCTTTTTGCAATGCTGCTTTCTTAGGTGAAAATCCTACATCTGGTATTTTCTAGTATTTGGGGAGTTCTGCAGTTGCCTTCAACTGGAGAAAAACCAAAAGCAGCAGACTTCTGGGCGTGTTGAGCTTCGAGTACCAGCTCCCTTTTCATTCGGAAACCTACAATTGTGCTCTGGCTTCCCTCACAGATCGTCTAATGAAAAGTAAAAATTCTCCAAATTGAGAACCAATAAAAAGCTACAGGAATCTGATTGCAAAAATACATTTTCAAAAGTACTTGGCACTCACAAGGCGCCTGGATAGCTCAGTCGGAGGAGCCTGCGACTCTTGATCTTGGGGTTGCGAGTCTGAGCCCCACATTGGGCCTCGGGACTTCTTAAAAAAAAAGTACTTGGCACTCAAATAATTTCCTCACTGTGGTAGACATCATAATAATGGCCTCCCAAAGAGGACTATATTCTAATCCCCAGAAACTGGAAGTAGGTAAAGTTACAGGGCAAAGAGGAATTAAAGTAGTAGATAGAATTAAATTGGCAAATCAACTGACTTTATGATAAAGGGATCATCCTGGATTATCTGGATGGATACAATATAATCACAAGGGTTTTGTTTTGTTTTTTAAGTAGGCTCCACACCCAACATGGGGCTTGACCTCATGACCCAGAGATTCCAGAGATCAAGATTCGCACACTCTACTGACTGAGCGAGCCAGGCACCCCTAATAAAACAAGGGTTCTTAAATGAGAAAGAAGGAAGCAGAAGGTCAATGTCAGAGTAAGCTGGGATGAGGAAGACTGACTGGCCATTGCTGACTTTGAAGGTGAAGGAAGGGGCCGTTGGCAAAGGAATGCAGGCAGCAGAGGACCGTAAAGCTGGAGAAAGCAAGGCAACAGATTCTTCTTTAAAGCCCCCAAAAGGAACAAGCCCTGCTGATGCTGATTTGAGTCCCATAATATTCATTCCAGACTTCTAACCTCCAGAATTGTTGAGAATAAATTGCTATTGCTGCAAGTCACTAAATTTGTGGTAATGTGTTACAGCAGTAACAGGAAACTGGTATACCTCTTATAAAATAAGTGATTGTCATTTATAGCCTTTAAATTTTGACAGTTTCAGCAAGCTGATTACATTATTTTTGCCTTCCCATTTCTTACTAGAGGTAGATTTATGCCTAGATTTAGAGTTAATGAAGTTTAAGCTTTGGGTCTTTTAAAGTACATAGGAATCCTCAGGACACTGAAGTTATAGAGTGTTTTAGGTAGAAAGAGCTGGTGTGCATCCAGGAAGCATTCCTAAATCACCCAGAGACCTTAGAAGAAGGCAATCTAGATTGTCAAGTTTCAAGCAATTTGTTGTGATTTCTGTTCTCATTCTGAATAAATTCTCATGTTCAACCTAATTTTGCTCTGGTAATTTTATATTCTTTTTCTTACAGAAAACTCCCCAAATTGTATCTGCTCCAGGCCCCCCAAAACCCTAGATCCACCTGTGTCTTTTGTCATTTTTTTTGTAAAGAAGAGTTAAAAACATCACACACACACTTTAATCAGTGGGAAAAAAGAAAGGAGTGGTAGCTAAGGTTCAAGAGGCTGATGAACCCCCTACACCAGGACCTTCTACATCAACTCTGCCAATGAGATCCGAAGGGAAGTATGTTAGTGCCCAGGAATAGGGACTTACTAATTAATATTTTAAAAAAGTTGGTCAAAACTGTAGCTGATTCTGTCATGATCTTAAGATAACAGGACACACTCTAAAGAGAGGGAATGGGAAGAGTCATCGGAAGAGAATCTGACACATTAGAATTGAAATGAAATCAATCCAAAGAAGCAAATATTTATTGCATTCCTCAGCAGATAGGCAGCCTGTGTTGTCTGGGGCGGCAGGGGAACGGCTGCTCCTAGTTGTTAGGAAAAGGCGTCCTCAACTGCCCCATGGTACCTTGTCATACGTAGAACAAGGGCATCCACTTTTAAAAGGTATTTATTAATTCTTCTTTCACAGTATCCTTTTTTTTTTAAATGGGGGCAATTTACCACTAGGTACCAGTTTTTATATGATGTTCAGAGTTGCTTATTGCCAGAGAAAGTTCTTTATGTGCTTCATCTCACTTATTTCTCTTGGCCAGTTCAGGAGGTGGAGTCTTGGTGTCACTTTACAGGTGGAGATTCTGAGACTCAAAGTGGGTAACAAAGGAGGAGGGATTTGATCCCAGGTAGTCTATGCATGTAGTCATAATGCTCTACTGCTTCTAGAGTATCTCCTCCCCATAAAGAGTCCCATGAAATGGACAACAAGAGTGGGTAAGTTAAATGCTCTATGTCATAAGACAGTGGGTCTCATCCCCATTTGGGGCCCTCATACCTGGGTACTTCCTGCCTGGCCCCACCACTGACACTCATTGCCTGGGTCAGCAATTCTTTCTCTCTCTCTCTTTTTAAGTAAACTCAACCCCCAGCATGGGGCTTGAACTCACAACCCAGAGATCAAGAGTCATATGCTCTACTGACTGAGCCAGCTGGGCACCTCCGAGTCAGCAATTCTCAGTGGTAGGAGTATGACTTGATGTAGTCTGAAGAAACCCTGACCCCTCAAGTGATGTTTATATGACCTATTAAAGGTCCTGTTGGAGGGGCGCCTGGGTGGCTCAGTTGGTTGAGCGACTGCCTTCGGCTCAGGTCATGATCCTGGAGTCCCGGGATCGAGTCCCGCATCGGGCTTCCTGCTCGGCAGGGAGTCTGCTTCTCCCTCTGACCCTCCCCCCTCTCATGTGCTCTCTCTCTCATTAAAAAAAAAAAAAAAAAGAAAAAAAAAAATAAATAAAGGTCCTGTTGGAGAATCCTGTTGTTTAGAATACTCACTGAAAGGGGGGGGGGGGTATGCAGAATTAAAGCAGGTCACCAAATAGTATGTATGGTATAATCTCATTTTGGTAAACATATGTAGGTATATGTGTGGAAGAGCATTAACCAAACTGCTAACTGTAATCTTCATGCTTTCTATATTTGCCATCTATCTTGTTTCAAGAGAAAACAAGCAAACTTAAATAAAAACAATGTTCAGGAAGCAAACCCCTGGGGAGGGTTATTTCAGGGAGCCATTGGCTTAGAAGTGATAGTCTTGCAGTTATTTGTGTTCCAGGAAATTGTCAGCCCTTGGAAGAATGACAATAAAACTCTTTACCATGGGTGGTGCTTCAGGGAGAACAAAGATTTCTGGAAAAGCGATAACTTTCTGGAGAAACCTGGCTAACCAGGAAGGCATCTGGTTTGGGGGGGTGGGGTGGGCAAAGCCAAAACTTCGAATATGCTCTTTGTTCAAATGTAGGAAAAGGGGTGCTCACCAAGAACAGAACTCTGTAGGAACCTAAATTTTTCCTAATTTCCATAATTATACCTCAAGCCCCTATGTGCTACATGTGTATCCATGATGTAGCAGAATGCTCTTGTTTCTGTGGAGTTTGTTCACCTTGTGGCAAGAGTCACAGTAGAGAAAAGAGACATGAATGGACCAGAGGTTTGTTTCTCTTGTAAACCATCAGAGTGAAATGCACAGATGCTGTGGGGGCACACTGCAAGCTACCGCTGGACTAATGAAGTTAAACACGCAGAGAAAGTAGAGGATATGATTTAAAATCATCCTAATGTAAAAGGCAGGGGTGATGAGACTCTGCAAGTAGGAAAGAGAAAGAAAAAAGTTGATGGTTTTGTGCTATATCCAACAAACGGATTTTATTCATGTCTACAGACAATGCATTAAAAATATCGGATGTCATTCATCTATTCAACTATTTACTGAGCAGCAAACCAGGGGAGGTATGGTGTTTGGGGACACATCTCAGGGACACAATATCCTTCTACCTTGTTGCTTATTATTTTTTTTTAATTTAAGATTTTTATTTATTTATTTTTGTGAGAGATAAGGGGAGAGAGAGAGAGCACAAACGGGGTGGGGGGGAAGGGCAGAGGGAGAAGCAGACTCCTCACTGAGCAGGGAGCTTGATGTGGGACTTGATCCCAGGACCCTGGGATCATGACCTGAGCAGAAGGCAGACGCTTAACTGACTGAGCCACCCAGGTGCCCTACCTTGTTGCTTTCGCTTGTATGGCCTTAAGCTCATGGTCTAAGATGGCGACATCTGTGTTTCATGTAGCAGATGGAGGAAGCAAAAAAAAGAAATTGCTATCACGTGACATTCCTTTCTATTTCTGCCTACAAGGAGACCGGAAAATATCATCTTTGTGCTTGGTAGCTGTGTGTAAAAATACTGGGGTATCTATTACCACAGATGAATGAGAGAATGGATATTGCGGTACAGGTAGTACTCCTGGCCATAAGCATCTATTGCAGGGTGTCTCAACCTTGGCAACACTCACATTTTGGGTGGTTTTGGTGGGTATCGGCTGCCCTGTGCATTGTAGAGCGGGCTTAGCAGCATCCCTGGCCTCTACCCACCAGACCATTCCCCTACTTGTGACAACCAAAACCTCCTGAAGCATTGCTAAATGCTTCCCTGGGAACAACTTCCCTACTCCCAATTGAGAAACACTGTTCTATTGTGCGTAGGAACTATGTTCGTCACTGTGCAGGAGACAACACGAAACCAAAAGTGAAATAATTTCAAACAGTGATAAGAGCTATGATGGAAATAAAATAAGGTCAAGACAGATCAGGTTGGAATGCAGGATGTACTGTGGACTCAAAAGCCCTGAAAGAAAAGATGCTGGCTTCTCGTAAGAAGAATCAGAGCGTAGGTGTGATTGGAAGGAAATGGGGACCCTGGTGAGGTCTTGGTAATGGAATCTTTAAGCAGGGAATAATGATTCATAAGAGCACATACTAGGAGAGGAGTAAGAGAGAACGCAGGGAGACCAGTAGGAACCTGTCACAGTCATCCAGGTGAGAAAGGATGATGGCTTGGTTTGGCAGTGGAAATAGTGAGAAATAAAATTGCTGGAGAAAAAGAACGAAGATAGCAGCTGCCTATGGCAATCTTTGATTTACCCAAATAGCTACTGGGGAGGCCAAGTGGTGTTAAAGGGGGTCTACTTCCCACACATTGTGAAGTTCAGTCCAGCCCACTATAGATCTGTGCTGTTTGTTCTGTATTAGTTTCTTTCTAAGGCTGCTGTAATACATTACCACAAACTTGGTGGCAAAAAATTTTATTGTCTCATAGTTCTGGAGGCCAGAAGTCCAAAAATCAGTCTCACTGGTGTCTGCAGGGTCATGTCCCCTCTGGAGGCTCTGGGAGAATCTGTTCCTTGCCTCTTCTAGCTCTGGTGGTTACAGCACTCCAGTCTCTGCCTCTGTGGTCACAGTGACTTCTCCTCTGTGTGGGGACATCTTCCTTGCCTCTTTCTTGTAAGTGTGTTTGTGACTATATTTAGGGCCCATCCAGATTATTCAGGACAATCTCTCTACCTCAAGATCCTTAATCACATTGTTCGCCATATAAAGTAATACTCACTTATGCCATGGAAGAGAGTATTTCCAGCTTCCAGGGATTAGGGCATGGATAATTTCTGGGGGGCTGTCTTTCAGGACTGCAGTGTTAGAAATCACTTTGGCTATCCTGAGGAAGACATGTTTATTTAGCGAATAAGGTGGAAAGCACTACTGTGGAATAATAAAATGCCACTTAGTAAATTGATTAGAGAAAGAAATGCAAAAAAAAAAGAAAAGAAAATTGAATTTTTGTAAATGGAGTTTTCAAGAATTCTAGGAAAGATAGGCCAAAGGATAAGAAAGTTCAGAAAAAGAGCTTCATGGACTTTAGACAAATCCATTCTAGATATTGAAGTCAGTGCTTCTGAGGACCGTTATATTTGCACAGTATAAAGTAGGCATTCGAATGCATGGTGTGTCCCACGGGCCTTGTCAATAGTGCTGGCCACGGGCCATTTAGCTGTGGTGGGGCAGAGTAGGGAGGGACGGCGAGAAGGCAGTGGACAATGGAATGAGAATGCAGAACCAGACCAACCCACAGAAGTAGAGCAAGACAACAAGAGCGGCTGCATGTAAGCGGCTGGGTTGAGGAGGGTTGAGATCTAAGGTTACTTAAACATAAACTTTATTTTTTTTTTAAAATATTTTAATTTATTTATTTGAGAGAGAGCTTGAGAGCAAGAGAACACTAGCAGGGGGGAGGGGTAAAGGGAGAGGGAGAAGCAGACTCCCCACTGAGCAGGGAGCCCTATGCGGGGCTCAATCCCAGAACCCTGGGATCATGGCCTGGGCCAAAGGCAGACGCTTAACCGACTGGGCCACATAGGCGCCCCTTAAATGTACACTTTAAAGCTTAAGTGCTTTCTGGTAATCTTTCAAATCCTCATGCTCTTCAAAGGGTGCTCAGGCTTTCCCCTTGCTGCATAGTCTGAAAAACTATGAGGATCATTGTGGCATCTTAGTTTACATAATAATCCTGACCTAAATGTTATTATTCTTATTTTGGAGATGAGGAAATGGAAGTCTAGCAAGTTTGAATAATTTGTTCAAAATCACACAGCTACATTAGTGGTAAGGCTGGGATTCGATTTTAGTTCTGCCAACTCTAAAGCTATGGATCTTCTCCTTCTCTATTATTTTGTCACTAGACTTGATTTCTGTGCCTGGGAGGCCAGGATCACAAACGCCCAGTACCTTCATATTTACCCACTCTGTTATTTCTGAGGCAATACTCTGAGCTGTCCCTATTCAGTTCCCTACTTGAGCACTCCCCTTCCTTGTTATTCAGAGCACTGTCAGCCCATATGGTCTCACTCCAGAGCTCACTCCTGTTAAATGTCTCCTGCATGTCTGTGTTCTAGCAGCAGCTCCTGACTTTTATCTGAAATAAAATTCTTATGTATTTGCTCATTTCATCTATGTTACAATGACCAAAATTAGATGTGCATGAAGTCAGTGTTAAAATGAAAATAAACAACAAAGGATGAAACAGATACTGGGAAAGTAAAAACTCTGGTCATTATTTTCCATTTTTGTTTATATTTAGGTCTTTATGAGACAAGGAAGATGACTTTCATGTCTAAACACTGGAACAACCTAAATCATATTAATACTATTACAATCACTATCATGTTCTAGAGAAGATTCTAAAGGAATATGAATGAAAAAGTAGCATTTAAGATTTAGTTTTCAGAATACAGATACACCTCAGAGAAACTGTGACCCCATTGTATGTATATTTGAGGTAATATTTGTATAACTAGTAACTCTCATGGCGATGGGAAACATTGCTCTTTGCATATGTTGTACATTAGCTTTCTAAGTCAAGAATTCCACATTGTTGTAAAATAATTTTAAGTTCAATGTATGGCAGTTATGCAAATAGATGTAAACTTCAATACCAGAGGAACCTCAAAAAGGTGTAACACCTACGAATTATGTATTATTAACACAAATGTCAACAAAAACAGTCCAACAGATATAGAAGCACAGTAACAAAAATATAATTATCAATATAGCTGTCTTATAAGAGTAAACTAGTATCATCAGGCTTATGAAAAACAATTAAGGTCACTGTTTTTATTTTTTGCTCATTATGACCCTTCCCTATACATACAGTGGTTAATTCTGATCATTTAACCTTATTTAATCTCCCTATGAACAAATTTGCTGATACTGAATACTATTTTCAAATATATCAGCATTATCATCATCTCATTAAATAGGTTATTATCATTACTGAAAACTCATCAAAACTTTTAAGGCTATTAATGGTTTCATCAACTTGAAAATCTAGTTTTGGAAGTAACTGGTTATAAATTTGTCCTTTTATTGGTAAACAGCAACCATACACCAGTGTTACTCTCAATTGAGATATCTCAATAGCGTGCTTATCATGCTTACATTTTACATGAAAGTTGGAATACAGACTTTATAATAGATCTGAAACATCATCAAATATTGTTACCATGCTGTTATGATAATAGCCTATATGTGTCATTAAAAATATTATTGGCTGGTTGTAAATAGTACCTTTTTCCGAACTGAATTTTAAATGTTCTAGAGGCTAACATGATAACAAACTGATCTTCACATGGCGTCACACAATCTTCTTTCAAAGTTCACAGGCCCTTCTTACTGTCTTTCCCTGAACAATTCTGCAGGGGGGAAAAAAAAAAGACTTAGGTAAGTAGTTACAACAAAGAGTGAAAAACAGATTCATAGATATGACAAGGAATTTTTTAAAAATGTTCTTTTCTGTGTATGGTTATTAATTATGAGGATAATCAAATGTGAAAACATGGATTGAGAAAGTCTCAAACTTAAAAAAAACTACAAAGTTTGTGAGTTTTATTTGAAAAAAAAGTCGAGGGGAAAAATAACACTCTTGATAAGTTCATTTATTTCCCTGCCTTAATCTATTTTGCTTTTGTTTCACAGGTTATACCAGGAAAACAAAATTTCTCAAATTCTCCTCTTACAAACCCAATTAAGATTTTTGGCAAGGAAAGAACAAAGGGACCCCCAAACCCCAGATGGGATGGCCTTTTTTGTGTGTTTGTCTTCAGATATTTGCCAATAGAACTGACTTCTCAGATTATACTCTTTGCTGATCGCAAGATGATTATAATATATCATTTAAAACTGGAGGAAAATGGGATAGAAATGAACCTTCAGAGATCATTTGCACTTAAGAAAGCAAAAGTCCACACTGAGAAAAAAAAAAACCCTCATAAAATGGCATTGAAGTGCTACTGCTTGCACATGAGAGGTTCACCAAGCTCTTGCTCAGGCTGAGCAGTAATGCCTTCAGAGCAACTTTAACAATATTAACATTAACCAAATCAGAAGACAGGATTAGAGGAGGTATTTTGAATAAGGTACCACTTTCACATGTTTGTATGTATCTTGTCACTTTAGGTAAAAATCACAGCTTTGCCTACCGAATGGGAAGAGATATTTGCAAATGATATATCTGACAAGGGGTTAATACCCAAAATATATAAAGAACTTATGCAACTCAACACCAAAAAACTCAAATAATCGGATTAAAACTGGGCAGAGGACCAAAATAGACATTTTTCTAAAGAAGACCTATAAATGGCCAACAGACACGTGAAAAGATGCTTATCATCACATTGTGGAAAATGCAAATCAAAATCACAATGAGGTATCACCTTACATCTGTCAGAATGACTAGGAGCAAAAACACAAGAAATATTAGTGTTGGCAAGGAAGTGAAGAAAAAAAAAACACCTCATGCACTGTTGGTAGGAATGTAAACTGGTGCAGCCACTGTGGAAACAGTACGGAGGTTCCTCAAAAAATTAAAAATGGAATTACCATATGATCCAGTAATTCCACTTTTGGGTATTTACCCAAAGAATACAAAGGCACTAATTCAAAAAGATACATGTACTCCTCTGTTTAGTGCAGCATTATTTACAATAGCCAAGATATGTAAACAATCTAAATGTTCATCCATAGACAAAAAGATAAAGATGATGGTGTGTGTGTGCGTGTGTGTGTGTGTAAGGGAACATTACTCAGCCATGAAAAAGAACAAAATCTTGCCATTTGCAACAACATGGGTGGAGCTACGGAGTATAATGCTAAGCAAAATAAGTCAGATGGGGAAAGACAAACACCACATGATTTCACTCATATGTGGAATTTGAGAAACAAAACAAATGCACAAAGTAAAAAAGAGACAAACAAAAATACAGACTCTTAAATACAGAGAACAAACCAGTGGTTGCCAGAGGGAAGCTGGGTGGGGGGATGGGTGAAACAGGTGATGGGGATTAAGAGTACACTTGTGATGAGCCCTGAGAAACGTACAGAATTGTTGAATCATTATATTGTGTGTGAGACTAATATAACACTGTATATTAATTATACTTAATTAAAAACAAGGAAATAATCTTGTACTTATCCAAAATAAAAGTGGACATGAAGATTAAAAAAAAAAATCACTGCTTTAATGGAGCTGTTATTCTGGATAAGTCCCTTAAGTGAAGGGTGATTTTCCAAAATGAAATCTGAAAACTGGCAAGTGCTGATGGCTTTGTGCTGCCCATAATCCTCAGTTAGTTTTGCTTTTTCTTTTCTAGAAGAGAGCCAGGGCAAACAAGGAAAGGCAAAGACTGTATCCTGAAGGGATTGTTTTCTAATATTTATTTAGTGCTTATAACAGGGAGGGGATCAGATGGGGAAATCCAAACAGATTTTAAAAATGCAAAGTGGGATTCATTTATGGTAAGGAAACCAGCTTTCCCCTCTTTCACCTTTATTTCCTTAATAGTTTAATGGTCATTTTATGGTTATTTTATTTAAAGCAAATCAACTGTGCAAAATTGAGAAAGCTCAGTTTCCCAAGGAACTTTAAAGATAAAATTCAATTATTAAGGTCGGTTTGACAACAGAAGTAAAATTCATGAAACGCAAGTTGATACAGCTTTTTACTATAGACGGTCTACAGCAATTTTTTTGGTTCTTAAGTAGAGTTCAGAAGGTGAATATCAAAGTGTATGAGTCGCTTTTAAGAAAATGGTAGTCATTGGGGCGCCTGGGTGGCTCAGTTGGTTAAGCGACTGCCTTCGGCTCAGGTCATGATCCTGGAGTCCCGGGATCGAGTCCCGCATCGGGCTCCCTGCTCAGCGGGGAGTCTGCTTCTCCCTCTGACCCTCCCCCCTCTCATGTGCTCTCTCATTCTCTCTCTCTCAAATAAATAAATAAAATCTTAAAAAAAAAAAAAAAAAAAAAGAAAATGGTAGTCATTTAATGATACTTAAATCTCAGAATCTTCTACAAGGTCTCACAATGGACAATGGAGGGTGAGAGGGAAAAAATGTGTCCAATCAAAAATAACTACTAGCATCTTATGGGAACATAGAGCTTTTCTTGTTTAAAAATATTTAAAGTGCCTTCTTGTACTGTACAGGATCTGGTTTAATACTCATAAGGTATTATAACCCTCATTTAAGTAATGAAGAAGCCAAGGTGCATGGATGTCAAAGCATCCACCCGAGGTTTACAGAACTGGCAGACTATGGAGCTGAGAGGTCTTTTTTTCTTCAAACAGATATTTATTATGGGAAATTGGTTTTACAGGTGATGAAAGAGTAGACACATGGGGCAGTGTGGTAAGACATCTCAATGATTAGCACAGAACCACCACCACTCTTTGGGCTGGAGGGACAAGGGAGGAGATAGTGTTATGGACCCAGGAGCTAGGGTCACCATGTGGAAGTTGCCCAGTGGGTACTGGGACCATGGAAAGAAATGGGGCTGCTGCAGATGCCACTTGAAACAGAGAGAGTGGGAAAAATCCCTGGCTTTGTCCCTCTTGCCTTCAGTCTCCTACTGGTGCTCCCATTGCTGAACCTGCTCAGAAGAGAGCCAGGGGGCTGGGAAATGTAGCCCTCTGAGATCAAGTAGAGCAGAAGTAGGAAGACAATGGATCCAAGAACACAGTCCAATGACCAGAACAGGCCGAGCAGCAAAGTTCTTAATGATGGGGGATCTGGAGAAAAATTTCCTGATTTTTGAATCCAGCTTTGAATCCTACCAACTTCTAGTTCAGTGACTTTAGGTACATTATATAACACCTCTGGGTCTTGTTTTCCTCATGAAAAAATTGGGTATTAAAATATTTTAACTTAGTGGACTATGATGACAGTAAACAGAGTAACATATATGAAGTCATTAATGAAGTGCTTGGTCCAGGGCACATCTTCAATAAATGTCACCCATTACATATCTCAAAAATAAAAGAAGAAAGTAAATGCACTGGTGATCAAGGCCCAACTCTCAGTGTGGCACTTGGCATTTCCGGGACACGTCATTTTTCAAAGAAACAGGTGTAACAACTTCTTTCTGGGGAAGGAGTTACTCCGAACAACTTTTTAACATCTGTTATCAAGAATGCATAAGCTCCCAACAGAAGGGGTTTCTGGGAGGGGAAAGAAAATGGGTTGAGGGAGTCTCACTGTCACATATACTCTTCAGGGATTAAGAGATCATTAGCTGTTACCACAACGGGGACATTCAGTGATGGCCACTGGCCATGAGAAAATGAGGGAATATTCCTGCTTCTTTTTTCTCCATTCAGGGAGACAATCATCCTTTTGAGTACACCCTGACCTCACCAATGGAAGGGAGAAAAAGTTCTATTTTTAGGCCAAAGGCTTCTGAAGTATTCCTTCACTTTCCAGGGCGGATCTTGAAGCATGCTCTGGAATAATTCTCATCAGGCCATGGTGAAGTCAGCAATTTCAGGACCTGTGTTTCAGAGATGGGGAAAGGGTGGTCTTGCTGAACATCTAACCACCTACTCTAGAACATGTGAACTGAGCTCTTGGTGTCCTAGGTTTGAGCACACAGGGTATCTGCCCTTCTCTGGACTGCCCTATTGTCAAAGTAGGTTAGTTAACTTAAACATGCAACTCAGCTAAGATACTAGATTACAAATGTGTTTTGGATTGCTTCTTGGCTGGCTCTAAATCAAGGCTAAAGTGGCTGGTTGAGAAGAAGTCATTCTTCCAGCACAAGTTCTACAGAGGCACGTATGCTGATGATGACAATGATAATTCTAATAGGTATCATTTCTTGAGTGTCTCCTACCAGCCAGGCACAACGCTAAGTACCCTACACATTCTATTTAATTCTACTGAAAACCCAGTGGGCCAGGTGTTATTATTATTCTGATTTTACAGATGAAGAAAAGTGAGCTGCAGAGGGGTAACATAACTTGCTTGGATTATAAAGTTAGTTAGTATGAGAGTTTGAGTTATTCCAGGTCGGTCTGACTCTAAGGTCTATCAGTATAGTACCTGCCTGCCTTTTGCCAGGCACAGTGCAAGACCCTGGAGATACAATGACCAGTAAGGCACAAATGAGTCCTGGGACCAGGGCTTCTCCTATAGTGAAGTAACTATAGAACTGTAATTGCTAAAAAGCCCTGATTGAAAGCCACAAAAGGGCGCCTGGGTGGCTCAGTTGGTTAAGCGACTGCCTTCGGCTCAGGTCACGATCCTGGAGTCCCAGGATCGAGTCCCGCATCGGGCTCCCTGCTTGGCAGGGAGTCTGCTTCTCCCTCTGACCCTCCTCCCTCTCATGCTCTCTGTCTCTCATTCTCTCTCTTGCAAATAAATAAAAATCTTAAAAAAAAAAAAAAAAAAAAGAAAGCCACAAAAGCTGCCAAATTCTCAGGATAAACCCAAACTGAAAGCAGCAGAGCACAGCCTATCATCTCAGGAGGAACTGGGGGGGGGGGCCAGGACTGCCCCTGGAATGGTCTTTCCCCCAAATTCTCCCCACATGTGGTCAAAGTGTGGCTGGGAAATCAATTCAGATTAGGGGCTGCCAAATTAAGAGGGAAGCGACAGTCACATTTAGCATGGATGAATGCAGGCCACGGGCTCTTGCTGGGCTGGAGGGGAAGAGAAAGAAAACCTATAGATATCCCTTGACTCTGTGACTTTAATAACAAAAAAGTTTTTTCCATTTCTGTCTTTAAATCCATGTTGGAAGCAAATCATGCATTTGAATGCCATAGGTTTTGACCCAAGATGTCTAAAACACTGGGACAGAAGTAGTGTGAGGTGGGACTTCAAATTTTGACCTTATATTCTGTCACGAATAGAGCAAACACTGCCAATGGCAAAATGAAATGTTTACAGAACCAGTCTGTTTTTCAATGCTGTCACTTTTGTGGCTCAATTCTTTGGCTTAAAATTTCACTAAAACTAGAACGCTGTATGTTAGCATGTCAGTAATTCTCTATGCTATGACTGTCTTGTATTTTCATGCAATGTCCTCATCTTCACCATCTAGGTATATGTGCTGCCGAAGCGAGCACGTTCACCATCTAGGTAAAAATCTGGTTTCCTTAATCATTTTTAAGAAGCCAGGACTGAGTGCATCCTCTTGATTTGGGAAGGGCAAATAACCCAAATAATTACTCAGTAATTATTATTTCAAAAAACTTAGATCCCCAAAGTTGAGGTCACCCACCTGAAGTTCTGCGTGTTCTTTCAGGAGTCGGTCATATTCTTTTGAAAGATGCTCTGATTGCATTCTCATTGTCATCACATCATTCTGTGCCTTAGAGAGGGCTAGAAAACATGGAATAGAATTTTTAAATTTTTATTTTGAAATAATTTTAAATTTACAGAAAAGTTGCAAGACTTAAATAGAAAACTCCTTTGTAGCTCTTGCTCAAATTCACCAACTGTTAAGATGTGGTAAATTTGTTACTGTATTTTCTCTTCACACACGCACAATTATTTTCTTGAACCATTTGAGTATAAGTTACAGACTTCATGCCCCTTTACTCCTTAATACTTGTGTATTTCCTAAGAACAAAGGTGTTCTCTAACATAACCACAGCATCGTTAGCAAATGTAGGCAATTTAACATCAATATAATACTTTTTATCTAACCTACCATTCATGTTCCAATCTTGGCTACTGTCCCAATTATGTCCTTTCTATCATTTTTTTCGAGTCTAGATCCAGCCCTAGGATCAAAGATTAACATTAAATTTTCATGTTTCTTTGGTTTCCTTTAAACTGGAATAGTTCCTCAGCCTTCCCCCTGCATTCCTCTCCTCTTTCGCAACACTGACATTTCAAAGAATACAGGTCATTTTTTTTTTAAATGGAATGTTTTTCATTTTGGTTTTGTCTGATGTTTCCTCATGATTAAATTCAGGTTATGCATCCGACTTACATACAAATATGACATAAGTGATGCTGAATGTCTGTCAAGGTATCACAATCAGAGGCCAATCTGCCTCTCACGGGTTTTTCCAATTTAAACTTATTTTCTTCCTTATAACTAAGAAGCAGTATGTGGGAAGACGAGACTATGTAAGTATCTTGCTCCTTGTCAAAACTTTCCCCTTATAGTTAGCATCCACTGATAATTCTTGCCTAAATCAATCTTTATTGTGATGGTTGCACAATGGTGATTTTCCAACTTCACCATTTCATCCACATTTATCAGTCAGCATTCTACTATAAACAAGGGCCTTCCTTTCTTATCCATCCATCCAACTATCTATTAATTCATATATCATCAGTATGAACTCACAGGTTCTTATTTTTTCAACAGTTTATAATTCATTATTATACTTAATTCCTCCCAGATACGGCTAGTGGGAACGCTGTCAGGCTGGCTCTTACATCTTCTGACTAGGCCCCTATCATTTTTTGAGTACTCTACTTTCTGGCATAAGATGTTCTAGGCTCTTCCCAACTTTTCCCTGATTCATCCTGGATTCAAGCATTACAGTGTAGAATTTATTAGAAGGGTATGCTTTTGAAAAAAATTGAGGGAGAAAAAAATATTTTATCATTCTCACCAAGGGATGATTGGCCATATTTCCTTCAAAGCAAAGATAATCACTTTCTTATACAAAGTTGAAAAATATAGGGGTGTGTGACACTTAAAGGCTTTACCTCAATATGACACACAAAAATGGCTCTATATTAGCCTCTGTCTACCAAGGAGCTACAGTCTAAGACAGAAGATTAGATAGAAGTTTAAAAAATATACATATATGTCATGAACATTTAAGTCAGCAAATGTATAGAAAGGAAGATCAGCACAAGATGGACTGGAAAAATTCTGGGACTCTTGAACGAACTCTACATATAATTCTGCATATGTAGTCTTAAGAAATTCTGCATTTGTAAATCTTTTAGGGTAGAAGTTTTAGTAAAAGAAAGTGGGATTTATAAAGTAAGAGTCACTTTTTAGGCATAATGGAATGAAATTATAGGCTCTATTTATAAACAATCTGGTTACCTTTCCTCTTGAAAAGCCACCATATGGGCATTTTTATATATAAGTCACTTTCAACTAAAGTGGCTTTTGTATAAGCACTTTCTAGACAATGTTGTCAAATTAAACTCCCATACTGTAGAACATTTACTGGACAATGCAGATGTAGAACATCTGTGTTGTGTAATATGGCAGCCACTAGCCAAAAGCAGCTATTAAGCACTTGAAATGTGGTTAGTGTAACTGAAGAACTGAATTTTAAATTATACTTAATTTAATTTTTAAACATATTTTAATTAATTAATTAATTAACTTATTTATTTGGAGAGTGCAAGGGGGGCAGAGGGAGAGAGAGAATCTCAAGCAGATTCCATGCTGAGTGCAGAGCCTGTTGTGGGACTTGATCTCAGGACCCTGAGATCATGACCTGAGCTGAAATCAAGAGTTGGATGCTTAACCAACTGAGTCACCCAGGTGCCCCAATTATACTTAATTATAATTAAATTTTGATTTAAATAGCCATGTGTAGCTAGTGGGTAGTCATACTGGATAGCTCTACATTATGATTTCCTCCATGTTACTTTTATAGATCTGTAACTCTAAGTTAGGTATTAAAGGCTAAATTTAACAAATTTAATGTGCCACTTAGTAAAAGTATAGGTTAGGTATGGAAGAGAGATTTTTGATACTGGTTAGATTTCACTGGAACCACAGCCACAGCATGAAGATTTATTTATTAGTCTTCAATTTGGGTTATCTATAAGGCATTTCCTAGAGCCTACTTGAAAATATGAAACACAGTGTTAATTTCAAGACCTTACCAAAAATGTTTAAAAGCCTGGATTTCTGGTATGTAAAAAACAAAGAAGATTCTACAACTTAGTAATATCTGACTAGCCTCCAATGGTGGTCCAACATGGGTCCAAGAGGGTCCTGCCAGAAAGGAAGATCCTGAGCTGACCTCCTCCCATGGACAACAAATCTATAACCACATGTGGAATAATTCCCTCTGAAGGGGACCTAGAAACAGGATGAACAGACCCTCTACAACAAGGGGCAGCACTGAGATGGGTAGAAGGAGCAGAGATATAGTCTCACTAAGGAAAAAAGCCACATTCTAGGTGTGGCTTTCTATGATACAGAGGGATCTCAAATATAATGAACATTTTCCTGAGGAGTAAGAGATTTGAACTCCACATTAGGTATGCAAACCCTCAGATCCTGCACAGAAGAGACAAGACTCCAAAATACCTGGCTTTGCAAACCAATAGGGAATATGTCCATGAAAAAGAATTGCCGGGGCGGGGGGGGTGGGGGGAAATCCTCTTAAAGAGCTCTAATGTAGACTTACTTGACCCAGAAATAAGCACAAAAACACCAGATCAAAATTACATGGACTACAGGTGAAGGAGACCCACTCACTAAACTTGAAATGCCTGCCGGAGAGACAGGAGGTAGCTGGGCCTCTCCTTGGGACTTAGACACTGGCGGCAGCCATTTCTGCTGTCTTGTTCTGCTGTGCTGATTGGCACTGGTGGACACCATTCTGGAATCCGCCCTGTAGACTGCTAAAGTCGGGGGGTGCAAACCACTGGTGTCTTGGTCAGTTCTGCTCACTAGTACATCTGTAGCTGTCAAGGTCAGGTATGCAGCCAGGTGGGCTGGAAGCCAGACCCACCTACCAAGGTGCCCATGGCAGTACTGCCCCGTCACATCAGGAGGTTACATGCAGCCCACATGGGGGACACCCCAGGAGCACCTGGTTCTGGTGACCAGAGGAGATTGTACTTCTGGGCCCCATAGGACATCTCCTACATAAGGCCACTCCTTCAAGACTGAGAAATATATGTTGTGATGGACACTGGGTGTTGTATGTAAGTGTTGAATCAATGGATTCTAAACCTGAAATTAATATTGCACTGTACGTTAACTAAGTAGAATTTAAATAAAAACTTCAAAAAGAAAAAGAAAAAAAAGACTGGGAAATGTAGTTGAACTACCTAATACCTAAAAACAAAGACAGAGTTAGGCCAAATGAGAAGAAAGAGAAATGTGTTGCAAACAAAAGAGTAAGACAAAACCTCAGAAAAAGAACTAAATGAAAGGGAGTTAAGCAATCAACCCGATAGAGAGTTCAAAGTAATGGTCATAAAGATGCTTATCAAACTCTGGAGAAGACTAAGTGAATACAAAGTGAGAACTTCAACAAAGAGAAAATATAAGAAAGTACCAATGAGAGCTGAAGAATACAATAACAGAAATAAAAAAAATACGCTAGAGGGGATAAACAGAAGATTTGATAATACAGAAGAAAAGATTAGTGATCTGGGTAATGAAAATCACCCAAACTGCGGTGCCTGGGTGGCTCTGTCAGTTAAGCATCCGACTCTTGATTTTGGCTCAGGTCATGATCTCAGGGTTGGGAAATTGAGCCCTGCATTGGGCTCTGCATTGGGCATGGAGCCTGTATGAGATTCTCTCTCTCCCTCAGTCCCTAACCGCCCTCCCAACCCTGCTCGTGCGTTCTCTCACTCTCTCTCAAAAAAAAAAAAAAAAAAAAAAAAAAATCCCCCAAATGGAACAGAAAAAGAAAGAAAAAAGAAAGAAAAAGAAAACAGAGAAGAAAAGAAAAAAAAGAAAAAAAAAAAAAAAGGAATTTAAAAATGAGGATAGTTTAAGGGACCACTGGGACAACATTGAGTACTAACATTCACATTATAGAGGTCCCAGAAGGAGAAGACAAAGAGAAAGGGGCATAAAACTTATTTAAAGAAATCACAGCTGAAAAATTCCCTAAGCTGAGGACCTTCCCAGGTCTAAGAAGCACAGCTCCCAAACAAGATGAACTCAAAAGAGATCTACACCAAGACACATTATAAATAAAATGTCAAAAACTAAAGATAAAGAATCTTAAAAGTAGCAAGAGAAAAGCAATTAATTGCATATAAGGGGATCCCCATTAGGCAATGAGCTGATTTTTCAGCAGCAACTTTGCAGACTAGCAGAGAGTGGCACAATATATTCACAGTGCTGAAATGAGAAAACATAACCAAGAATACTCTAACTGGCAATGTTATCATTCAGAACTGGAGTGGAAATACAAAGTTTCCCAGCCAAATAAAAGTTAAAGGAGTTCACCACTACTAAACCAGCTTTACAAAAAATATTAAAAGGATTTCTTTAAGAGGAAAAGAAAAGGCCATAATTAGAACTAAGAAAATATATGAAAGAAAAAAATCTCACTGGTAAAGGTAAACATATAGTGAAGGTAGTAGATCAACCACCACTTATAAAGCTAGTATGAAGGTTAAAAGACAAAAGTAGTAAA